GACTACATTGCCAAGTTCCTTGGACTCTCCAGTGACGCCCAGGCTAACGAGACCCAGGAAAAGACGATGCCGCTCATGCAGGGGTTGAAGACTTTCCCCAAGGCTGCTCTCTGGTCCATCGTCCTTTCCACCGCAATAGTTATGGAAGGCTACGACACCAGCTTGTTGAGCTCTCTTTACGGTCTTTCAGCCTTCCAAGAGAAGTACGGTGTTCCTAGCAAAAAGGGAGGATACCAGATTGAACCCAAGTGGCAGACTGCCTTGAGTATGTGTGTGCGTGTCGGTGAGCTCATAGGGTTGTTTGCTGCTGGTATCATTGCTGACAGAATTGGATACCGCTGGACCTTGATTGGCTCTCTCTTCGCTGTCATTTGCTTTATCTTTATCGTCTTTTTTTCGCTGAGTCTCGGAATGCTTGCTGCCGGCGAGACTTTGTTGGGGTTACCGTGGGGTGCTTTCCAGACCTTGACGGTTTCCTACGCCTCGGAGGTCTGTCCATTAGTCTTGAGATTCTACTTGACCACTTACGTCAACATTTGCTGGGTCCTCGGACAGTTGATCGCTTCGGGTGTTTTGAAGGCCTACGTCGGCTCTACCTCGAAGTGGGCTTACAGGATTCCTTTTGCGCTCCAGTGGATGTGGCCTATCCCAGTCATGATTGGTATCTACTTGGCGCCAGAATCCCCATGGTGGTTGGTTAAGAAAGGAAGGATTTCCAAGGCCAGAAAGTCATTAGGCAGATTGATTTCCGAGAACGAACATATCCCGGATAAGGCTGTTCTTGTGGATGCAATGGCTATCAAAATTCAGTTAGCTAACGAAGAAGGTGCCTCTTTGCTGGCAGGTTTCTCATACTTTGATTGTTTAAAGGGCGTCAACCGGAGAAGAACCAGAATCGGTGCCATTGTCTGGCTCATTCAATGCATGACTGGCTCCACCTTGATGGGATACTCCACTTTCTTCTATGAACAGGCTGGTATGAATAAAAGCAATGCATTTACGTTCACAATTGTGCAGTATGTTTTGGGTCTCATCGGCACTGTCGGGTCTTGGTTCGTTTCTCAGAGGGTTGGTAGGTTCAAGATCTATTTCTTCGGTCTCTGCACTCAGTCCTTTATTCTTCTTTTAATCGGAATTCTTGGATGCCTCAAATCGAAGGGTGCCTCGTGGGGAATTGGGTCGCTTTTACTCGTCTTTGTCTTTGTGTATGATTTGGCCATTGGTCCGGTATGCTACTGTCTTGTTACCGAGATCCCATCTGCCAGATTGAGAACCAAGTCGGTTATCATCTCCAGAAATTTGTTCAACGTTGGTGCCATTATCAACGCTGTCTTGACGCCGTACATGTTGAATCCAGATGCTTGGAACTGGAAGGCTAAGGCCGGATTCTTATGGTCTGGCTTTGCTCTTCTCGGTGCCACTTGGTGCTGGTTCGAGTTGCCTGAGACCAAGGGCAGAACTTTTGCTGAGTTGGATGCCTTATTCAAGAACAAGGTCAAGGCCAGAGACTTTGTGAAAACTGAGGTTGTCACTTTTGATGCTCATGCGATGATGGAGAGGTTAGGTGAAGAAGGGTTGAAGAAGGTGGTGCAAGATACCGAAGGTGCCACCACCACTGGCTATGCCAATGGAAGGGAATTCTCTCCTTAAGATTTTCTTTATAATTTCTTCCAAGATATTCTTTCTGGGTGGGTGTTTTACCCACCTGTTTTCCTTTTAATTCTTCTATCCAGTTGACCTGGTTATTTTTAACCCTAACCGTGTAGATTTATTTAACACGATAGCTAAATAATTACCCAAGCAAATGGTATATGTAAAGAGTGATCTTGATCTGCCGTCATGGAAAAAATCTAGATGCCGCTAAACATTGAGGCTGCTTCCAGAGATTTAGTAACGGTGTCTTATCTTATGTGAGACTATATAACAGGAAACGCTTACAACATATTAACCTCTGTAACAAGCCTGAAGACCGACTGACTGCCTTTGTATATATGATTCATATCTAATGACCAGCCAAGCATACTCGGTTATCTCATTACCCACATAGATATACAAGAATACTTTTCATCCATAAGATATACACGAGAGGAGGAGTCAATGCCTTCATATACGGAGGGCTGAGAGTAGCATCGTCATATGGCGATATGTCCTTGCGTATACCTGAGAAAGATATGATACCGAAATATCCGATCGGAGGTAAGATATCGGCTGGCGAAATCTGTCTGGTTGGCACCTTAAAAACAGCCAAGGTGGATGTTCCAGCTATGGATCATATTCGATGGGCTTGCTCACTTGCTATAGGCAAGGCATCACGAGGTATAAACTGGAGTTGATTCGTCCAGTTCTACAAGCCAACGCTCTGTAAACGCAGGATGAATCAGAAATAGACATTTTCGACAAACCGCATATTTTTTATTCTCAGGTGGTTCTTTCTTGACCCCTTCTCTGCCAGATACAGGTAAGTACTCAGAGATTTAGAGATGAGTTGAAACCAACTTGCTGTCTTACTTTAATTCGTTGGACGCTCTCCAATGTTATCCATGGGATTAAAGCTACTGCATTTCGTGGGGATAACGACGTAATTTCAGGGCTGAAGTCATAGATCAAAGGTAATCTCTTCCAACACTCAGTCCTTGGATGTCTTCAAGCTACGAAGATTATTCATTTATCCATCTGCGGATCAGGTTTCGCTCACCTTGTCGATTCCAAGCTTACTGAATCATTGTTCAGATATCATATTAGAAAACTGGACTTATAAGCGAACTGATATAACTCTAAGTATTAGCCATTGATAGATAATGAGCTGTACAATTGATGCGCCTAAAGACTTATATCTACCTGACATCTGTAACTTTATTCAAATTTTTGTCCGTAGACGATTCAATATGGCTTACCCCTCAGTTATTTCCGGGAATGACGCCTCCACTTGCTGAAATGGGAACTGCTAAAACGTCTCATCTATACTGCCCGACCTAACCACTTTAGGTCACGCCGAAGGTATTGTCGTGGCGACTTTTACATGACAGACCTTGAATTCTGGGGCACAGAGCGAAACCCCGCGTATGATATCCTAACTTTCCGAGGTAAACTTTTAGCTTAGGATTTAATTACTGCTTTACCCCTCTAAGGTCATGTACTCCACTATATTGGCAACGTCAGGTGAGACCTAGCGGTATGGCCCAAACAGTATTTAGGGCTGCAGGCTTAGCAAACTAAACCTAATTAGCGCAATACGACACAAATATTTTGTATTGGTGATTAACATGATAACCCTTTAGGGAAAAAAAAGTAGCCTACATGTCCGCCCCAGGTAGCACTTGAGCTGAGGGGTGGATGAGACGCTGAGCCACTGAAGGATACTCTAGTTCTTACTACGAGAGTAACACCAGCCAATTTTAGTTAGGCTGTCAAATCTTCCCAGTAGAACAGCACCGAACGTCCGAGTCATTCTGTGGCCTACGCTCTTCACACGCCGCAGCCCATGCGATAGATTTTCGGGCGACTCATAAGAGCATGCCCGTTAATTGCTCAAATAGAGGATATGCCGGACGGCGCCCTAATTCGTAGTGAGCCACAGCCCTTAGTAATGCACTGTGGATACAGTTCTTGCTTTTGAAATGCAAGATCAACGATGCCTTGTACCGGAATCTCAGGCCACTTGATTTCTGGCGAGCGTAGACACCATCAGGTGATGCGCCACGCTCATTCTCTCCGGTGGTGCACGGAGATTCGAAAAGTGGTGGGGTACATCCTACATAGAGTTTTCGGCTCAGCACTTGCATAGAATACAGCGACATAGGCTCGAAAAAAACCATATCGGGAGTACTTCCATAGAGGGTAAGGCAACCCATATAGCGTGGTAATGTGCCTGATTTGTAAGATTTTTCGCTCGGATAATTCTCCAAGACGAAACAGGTCCTAACCTAAATGCTGACATTATCCCAAAAATAATGCACAGGCTTGTACTTTAGGCTATTTGAATAACCTGAAGTGGGGGTAACTCACATACGCTTGCATTTTAGGAGTGAAGGTACATTTGCCAGTGGTGAGATCGGAGAGATTTTGTTCAATTGCCGCAAAACGCCCAGCCCACCAATGTATAGCCACTTAGCGAGAAGTGGATTTGCAACAACTCTAGTGGCTGCCGCGCCTCTCACGAAGCGACTCCAGTTTCGGCGCTCGTCACATTGCATTGAAGGTCCGCAGACCCCAGTTTTTATGATGAATCATGGGGAGGTGGTCTTGTGACTCAATCATTTCCGAATTGAGGCCAATATCGCTCTGACGTGACACCAAAACCATCCACCAGCGGAGCCTTTCCACTTTCGTGCATCCAGAGCGTCAACGCCTAAGAAACCTTCTTAGTCCTGCCGCAATTCTGCCGCTGCACATGCACGGACCTGCAGCTGGAAATATATATCGGGCACGTGCGTTTTGAGGTGCAGGGATATTCCGAGCCAGGTTACGCCGATAATTCACGTGACATATGGCTGGGGGCCTTTACAAACGATTCAAGGGTCCAACAGGGCCCTGAGAGCCAGAATACACACACAAAGGATGAATAAAACCAAACACAGAGTTTAGACCAAATGCTGAGCATTGAAGCGTCTAAGATCCCCCTTTTTGTTTTGGTTAGCTCAGTGTCCGGACCACAGGTCTGCAAGGTCACCTGAACCGATCGTGATCGGCAGTACATATATTTGTCTAGATTTACGGCACGCCAAGACTCGTCCAAGAAGTGCTGGTTCCGTTACTTCTGCTGCCTTCTCTTGGGCTGGATGTCCTCTCCCACGCATGACTGCACCCCAGCCCAGATATTCATGACCCTGGAAAGTTTTCTTTACAAATCCGGGGTTCTGCCAGACAAGACTTCGGTTGGACTCATCACACAGAATATTTCAGACCGGCGTTAGCGGTGTCTCTATAGATTCTATAAATACCAGAGAACTTCTGCCATCCAGACCGATTATTCCTACCTCATCTAGACAAGAGTTATATTACCTTACCATAAACCTACAAACATGCTGAATACCCACGTGGAAGATTTGGACGACCCAAACACCAAGGTCGACTTCGTCACTGAGCTTGACAAGAAGAACACCTCCGAGTTTGCCAGCAACCCGGAGATGGACGACTACATTGCCAAGTTCCTTGGACTCTCCAGTGACGCCCAGGCTAACGAGACCCAGGAAAAGACGATGCCGCTCATGCAGGGGTTGAAGACTTTTCCCAGGGCCGCTCTCTGGTCCATCGTCCTTTCCACTGCCATCATCATGGAAGGCTACGACACAAACTTGTTGAACTCTCTTTATGGTCTTTCAGCCTTCCAAGAGAAGTACGGTGTTCCTAGTAAAGATGGGGGATATCAGATTGAAGCCAAATGGCAGACTGCTTTGAGTATGTGTGTTAACATTGGTGAGATCATAGGGTTGTTTGCTGCTGGTATCATTGCTGACAGAATTGGATACCGCTGGACTTTGATTGGATCGCTCTTCGCTGTCATTTGCTTTATCTTTATCGTCTTTTTTTCGCTGAGTCTCGGAATGCTTGCTGCCGGTGAGATTTTGTTGGGGTTACCGTGGGGTGCTTTCCAGACCTTGACGGTTTCCTACGCCTCCGAAGTTTGTCCATTAGTCTTGAGATTCTACTTGACCACTTACGTCAACATCTGTTGGGTCCTTGGACAGTTAATCTCCTCGGGCGTTTTGAAGTCCTACGTCGGTTCCGACTCTGAGTGGGCTTATAAGGTTCCATTTGCGCTTCAGTGGATGTGGCCTATTCCAATCATGATTGGTATCTACTTGGCGCCAGAATCCCCATGGTGGTTGGTTAAGAAAGGAAGGATTTCCGAGGCCAGAAAGTCATTAGGCAGATTGATTTCCGAGAACGAACACATTCCGGATAAGAGTATTCTTGTGGATGCAATGACCGCTAAGATCCAGTTAGCCAACGAAGAAGAGGCTGCGTTGGTGGCTGGTATCTCATACACCGATTGTTTCAAGGGTGGTAACTGGAGAAGAACCAGAATCGGTGCCATGGTTTGGCTCATTCAAAACATAACTGGTTCCTCCTTGATGGGATACTCCACTTACTTCTATATTCAGGCTGGTATGGACAAAAGCAACGCGTTCACGTTTTCGATTGTGCAGTACGTTTTAGGTCTCATCGGCACTGTCGGGTCTTGGTTCCTCTCTCAGAAGGCTGGTAGATTCCAGATTTATTTTTTCGGTCTCTGTACCCAGTCCTTTATTCTTATTTTGGTTGGTATTCTTGGGTGTCTCAACTCGAAGGGTGTTTCGTGGGCTATTGGATCGCTTTTACTTATCTTCACCTTCGTGTATGATTTGACTATCGGCCCGGTGTGTTACTGTCTTGTTACCGAGATCCCATCTGCCAGATTGAGAACCAAGTCGGTTATCATCTCTAGAAATGTATACAACGTTGGTGGTATTGTCAGCGCCGTCATCATGCCGTACATGTTGAACCCAGACGCCTGGAACTGGAAGGCCAAGACTGGATTCTTATGGGGAGGTCTTGCCATCATCAGTGCCGTTTGGTGTTGGTTCGAGTTGCCTGAGACCAAGGGCAGAACGTATGCTGAGTTGGATACCTTGTTCAAGAACAAGGTCAAGGCCAGAAACTTTGCAAAGACCGAGGTTGTCACTTTTGATGCTCAAGAGATGATGGAGAGATTAGGTGAGGAAGGGTTGAAGAAGGTGGTGCAAGATACCGAAGGTGCCACCACCACTGGCTACGACAATGGAAGAGAATTATCTCCTTAAGTTCTCCCTTGGGACTAGAGTCGCCTTTGAACTGCTTTTTCTTATTTTTAGGTGGATGCTCTCTCCACCTGTTTTTCCTTTAATTCTACTATCCAGTTGATCTGGCAAATTTTAACTCAAACGTTTTGCTTTTGAAATCCAGCTGAAGTACAGATATGGATACAGAGAGTGTCCACAGGCATTGAAAGTTTAGTCCTAATCGTGTAAATTCGTTTCACGCGATAGCGAAATAAACAACAGGCGTTAAAAAGCCTAACTGTCAAATATCTAAACGTAAACGGTATATTCAAATATCGACCTTGATTAGTATTGCTGCCAGGGGATAATTCAAATGCCGTTAAACTTTGAAGCTGCTTCCAGAGCTGGAATTTAGTCATGATTAGCGGAGAATGGCTTCTTTTTGATCGTCTAAAATTTTAGTTTTACGATTCGTGATGGAGATATCCGTAAAATCTTTCGGCTCGTTTATAGAGAGTGACACTGATTGAATTTACCATGTCATTTTGCATACCCGATGAGGTGATGGAGCAGGCCGGTGCGAGGTACCGGCGGGGATGATGCGCCTGGACCTAGCTTAAAGTCTAGTCCCACTTTCCATCTTCACAGATTTATCGTATAACGTGTTACACCAGGAGCCCGAGACTGTTTTCAGAGAGTAACACCGAAGCTAGCCTGCAGGGGGACCATGCTTCACTAAATTTTATCGGGGGACTTGAGAGATACGGTCAGGTGGTTAAACTGCAAGGTTACAAATTCCTCCTACTCATTTTCGCAAGTCTGAGTCACCGCGAGAACTCAAACACGGCGATTTTCCCACTGTGTCAGCGGAGTCGGAGGTCCGTTTCTTTTTCTTAGACTTCGGGCTTATGCCATATGCATAGAAGTCTAGAATTTGAAGTAAATACGCATCTATAAACTATGGGGCCACGGCGCTACGACATGCAGTAGACGCACTCCTCTGAGTTGCGGATTTAGTCTCCTTGATTATGCACTTTCGGACAGCCATGGGCGGGGTTCCTCTTTAGGAGATGATGCGAACACATACAGGGATATGTGCTTGGCGTTCTATAGAAAATACCCCGCTCGCCCCCAGGAAGAGTCCTGGTAGTGACGTAGGTACCCCTGGTTGCACAGCTTTAGACTAGTCTGAGGGAAATACATTCCAGTTTGTATCGCTGAAGATCAAGCCTCCAGAGGCTAGCTCCACAATAGACTGTATTCTGAGCTAATGTGTTTACTGGCTGCACTTCGGTACTAATTTACTGTCACCCACTCAGTACTGACGGTTTCTAAATTTCTACCCGTAGCCAACGAGATCAGGTGGGGAACGTATCATTCTGAGAAAGCCAGTCGGAGTTCGGAAAAACCTGTGGCTCGGTGCCAATCGCTAATAGCAGTCCATAGGTACCGGCCCCCCAACAATAGGTCATCAAGTGTTTAGGCCGTCACCGTAAATAGTTGTAAAAGTCAAATTAAACATGGCCGAAGAATTGAATGCGAAAAAAGAAATCCATTGGCTGTAACTAGTAACAGGCCGGCAAGGGGAGTTAGGTGCGAATTCTATACTCCAAACTTTATGCATCATGACCAAATATCTAGACGAATCTACCAAGGTTCTAATTTATCCCCGCTAATACAGGTGATACTAGGGTGCTTACATGCTTCCCCCTGCCGGCTAGGGCATGACCTTTCGCACTCCAAAAGTGCACACTTAAGTGCCAAAAGGTGCGATCGCTGCGTTTTAGCTTCATAAAAAGCTGCATCCAATAAATCTCTGACCCTCTCTAAATGCTTAGATGCCACAGGTTGTCGTGCCAGGAACCTTCGTAGGTGGATAACTCCGCAAATCTCAAGTCCGATTCGAGCCTTAAGGTTGCTTTAGTGCTGCGTGGGGCGGTTCCACTTTAGGCAGCGCATAGCTCGAGCGCCGCTCGGAAATACTAATTTCTCGACGATTCATGCGGAGATTATCCCGGCTTCTAGTTTTGAGCCCCGCAGCGCATACTGGTCATCCAGGAGCATCGTAAGCAAGCTGAGAGCCCGGGTGACTCTAGAGTTTAGAAGGATACAGGTTGAAGGAAAAAAAAGAAATTAAAAAGTCTAATTGTATGGAAACGGATCACCCGAGGGAAGGTTGCTAAGATTTTTTTGTGGAAATGTTTGCAATACGGCCTCGTCTCAGCTGCACTGAGTAGCGTAAAGCACATGCACCACATTCTCTCCACCTTTACGGGTTACACCAATCATCGTTACTCCGGTAAGGACAAGACTTTCCCTGAATAGCACGATCCCGCAAATGATCAAGCTTTTTCAGACCAAGGCTTCTTGTCTGATCGGCCTTTATGGGGAACTGGTCTCAAAACTCTTGTTTTATCATTCGGCGGCTAATATGCACTACGTGCAGCATGTCATGTATCGCACCTTCCTGCACTAAGCCATGCACCATTGAAAACCATATAGGTCGCCTCGGCTGATCTAGTCACACTCGTCAAGCCTTTTCACAAAGCTGGGGTTACCATCAGATGAGTGTTCTCTGCAGCAGCTAGCTTCCATACCCCCACCATCTCTCCCCGCAAACATGCAGACCAGCAGGGCTATATAAGACATTGACTATCCGTCGGAGTTGGAGTTCCTTCAAACTACACCTCAACTATTCAATAACCCCTATACTCTTTTGAATACAAACCTACCACAATGCTGAACGTTCACATGGAAAATGTGGAGGATCCAAAGTCCGGGATCGACTTTGTCACGGAGATTGACAAGAAGCACACCTCCGAGTTCGCCAACAACCCGGAGATGGACGACTACATTGCCAAGTTCCTTGGGCTCTCCAGTGACGCCCAGGCCAACGAAAGCCAAGAAAAGACAATGCCGCTCAAGGAGGGGTTGAGAACCTTCCCCAAGGCTGTTCTCTGGTCCATCATTCTTTCCACTGCTATCGTCATGGAAGGCTATGACGTCGTCTTGTTGGGTTCTTTTTACGCCCTTCCAGCCTTCTCGAAAAAGTACGGTGTTCTTAGTAAAGATGGGACGTACACGATTGAAGCCAAGTGGCAAACTGGTTTGAGTATGTGCACCAACGTCGGTGAGATCATAGGGTTGTTTGCCGCTGGTATCATTGCTGACAGAATCGGTTACCGTTGGACTTTGATTGGCTCGCTTATGTTGGTCATCGGCTTTATCTTTATTCTTTTCTTTGCCAAGGATCTTGCGATGCTTGCTGTTGGTGAAATTTTGTTAGGGATGCCGTGGGGTGCTTTCCAGACCTTGACGGTTTCCTACGCCTCCGAAGTTTGTCCATTAGTCTTGAGATTCTACTTGACCACTTACGTCAACATCTGTTGGATCCTCGGACAGTTGATCGCCTCGGGTGTTTTGAAGTCCTACGCTGGTTCTGCCTCAAAATGGGCCTACAAGGTTCCTTTTGCGCTCCAGTGGATGTGGCCTATTCCAATCATGATTGGTATCTACTTGGCACCAGAATCCCCATGGTGGTTGGTTAAGAAAGGAAGAATTGACGAAGCTAAGGTATCGTTAGGCAGATTGATTTCCGAGAATGAGAATATTCCGGATAAGAGTATTCTTGTGGATGCAATGACCGCCAAAATCCAGTTGGCTAACGAAGAAGAAGCTGCGTTGGTGGCTGGTATCTCCTATTTCGATTGTTTCAAGGGTGGTAACTGGAGAAGAACTAGAATCGGTGCCATGGTCTGGACTCTTCAAAATCTCACTGGATCCGCCTTGATGGGTTACTCTACTTTCTTCTATGAACAGGCTGGTTTGAGCACCAGTAATTCGTTCACATTTACGATTGTGCAGTACGTTTTGGGTCTCATCGGTACTGTCGGATCTTGGTTCGTCTCTCGGAAAGTTGGTAGATTCAAGATTTATTTCTTCGGTCTCTCTGCTCAGACCATTCTTCTTATTTTAGTCGGAGTTCTTGGGTGTCTCAACTCGAAGGGTGCCTCGTGGGGTATTGGGACGCTTTTACTTGTCTTCACCTTCACATACGACTTGACCATCGGTCCGGTGTGTTACTGTCTCGTTGCCGAAATTCCGTCCGCCAGATTGAGAACTAAGTCGATTATTATCTCCAGAAATGTGTACAATGTTGCTGGTATTTTCAACGCTGTCATCATGCCATACATGTTGAATACAGATGCTTGGAACTGGAAGGCCAAGACTGGGTTCTTCTGGGCAGGCTTTGCCTTCCTCGGTGCCGTTTGGTGTTGGTTCGAGTTGCCTGAGACCAAGGGCAGAACTTTTGCTGAGTTGGATACCTTGTTCAAGAACAAGGTCAAGGCCAGAGACTTCGCGAAGACCGAGGTTGTCACTTTTGATGCTCAAGAGATGATGGAGAGATTAGGTGAAGATGGGTTGAAGAAGATGGTGCATGAAACCGAAGGTGCCACTACCTCTGGCTACGATAAGGAGAGAGAATTTTCCCCTTAAGCTTCACCTCAGAGTTCTCTTATAGGGCTTAACTTTTCCAAGTTAGTTTTTCTTATTTCAATGGCGATTTTGTTTAGTGTTTCGCCCGATTGTTTATCCCTTTTCCCGGTATTTAGCTAATCTGGTATCGTCTGTTTAACCATTAATTTTATTTTCGAGTTTTCAATCTTTGCAGCTAGATTTAGATTGAGGTTAAATCTATTAGGCTTTTACGGTAGAAGTTCCTCATGACTAAAACAAGCAATGCTTTTTACAGCACCGGTCACCCCCAGAAGCTCCGGCACTCTAGGTCAGTCATATGCGTAGTATTTCTGCTATAGCTATTACCCAGTGTAATCTCCTAGTATGGGCAATGCAACGTGCAATTATCGGTAATTCTTTTGTGACGTATATATGACCATGAGAGTTTTCAGAAGGCACGTACTTGAATACATTATAATAAATTGTATCCGTATGGATCTTTTCCACGGGTCGGAGGAGAGTTTCACAGTTTGAGCCGTGACCCGAGTTATAACCAATCAGTTTCCTTAGACAATAGTTATGTGGAAATACCATAATATCAATTCACACACCACTTACAATAAATCCTTTCGTCGATACCGCCAAAATACGAATTAAACCTAGTCACATAGAACAGGGGGGTAACCAGAGTAAAACCATACTCATCTCTATAACTCACATACCAACGGTTGTGCCGCGAAAAAAAACTTAGCTTAGTATCCCGGTTATTAAACTCAGGTTTCGAACCAAAAAAGCCGTTTTCAACCATGTGATCAGCATACGTTTTCAACATGTTTCCTAAAAAACCCCTTCATGTACTTAGCATTTGTAGTAATCCACCAAACTCCTAGATTCACGCCCTATTCACGGCTGTCGTCGTGAAAAGGACTGAGCCTTTCGGTTTTGGGATCCAAGCTGCGCGGCTCGTCGATATCCACACCAAACTCCATGACAAAACTGCCGGAGTCTGCGATCGAAACCTCATCTGCGCGCGACAAGCTCAGCATGCGCAGCGGTGGACCCGCAGCTGCAAAAGGCGGCGCTGACGGCGCATGCGACGGCTTGGACTGCGGGCGGCTGTGGTGAGCGGAAGTGGCGGCCTCGATCGCCTCGCGGTCTGAATCGTCCGAGTCGTCATCATCAGATTCTTCCGGGCCCTCGTGGAGCACAAAGGGGTCGTCGCCGTGCTGTTGGATGTGCGACAAGCTCTCGTTGTCCTCATCATCCTCCATGATCAACTCGTTTTGCAAGCGCGACGCGGCGTTGTTAGTATTGGTGGACGCGCCGCGCACGGGCAGTTCGTGTGTGGGTTTTTCGCGCACGTCCACAACACGTGGCTGCGCCTTGATCGCAGTGGTTGTGGGCAACTTTTTTTTGCTCGACGTGGAGCCCTTGCGTTCCACAATGGAGGCGTCCTCGAGCGTGTTCCAGTCGGAAAACATGGACTCTCCATCCATCGTGGAGTAGACCAGCTTTGGCTTGGCGTTCTGTCGGATGGTGACACCCGGAATGTACGCAATCGGAATGATGTTGGAAGCCTGGGTGTTGATGGTGGAGGTGGTGGTTTGCTGTGAGAGGCGGCGCCCGAGGTTGGGGCCAGTGACGCGAGTGGGGCCGTTGCGGCGTGGCATGGGTTGCACGGTGGAAGCGTCTTCGTGCGCGTCAGGGGGGATGTTATCGTAGAACTCTTTGTCGGCCTCGGCTTCGGCCTCGATCTCAATGCGCTTCACCTTGTAGAAGAAGCGCCAGTAGATGAACGCGAGGAGCGCAATCACCGCCAAGCTGCCCACCACACCCCCGACGATTGCGCCGACGTTGGTCATGTGCAGCGTGGGATCGGACGCGGTAGATTTGCACACCAGCAGCGCGCACTCTAGACACGACCGGGGGATTTGGACACACGACTCGCCAGAGGAGCACAGAGGGCACGTCGGCGCCTCCGAGGGACACGATATACACGTAGCATCCGACGCCCGCCGTACGAGGTACTGAACGGGTGTCGCTGTGTATGTGGGGATGGAAATCTGGGACATATGGGTACCGGTTGGCAGGTTATGCTGTTTCCTGGGTACAAGCGGTGTAGGCGCCTGGTATATGGTATCCTTGATGGTTAGGAAGTCTAAGTGCAGTCTGAAGTAGGATCTCGATGTAGGATGTTTTGGATGTTCGTTGAGATCCGGATATATCTATTATCCTCTTGCCTAAAATCTTTCAGGTGGCTGCTGGCTCTCTGGATATCCGTTGTATTTGATTACCCAAATGTTTCTTCAGGGCAGCAAGGATACTTCAGTAGTAGGTGATGAATAGTCAGCGAAAAGAATCGATAGCTGGATAAGTTGTGGTGGATCAGTTATAAACCAGCGTGGTAGGAAGTATTAGGGGCGCTAATATTTGCCAAGATCGTCTCACTTTACTCCTTACGGAATATTTCCGCCCACGCGCGACAGTTTGCCTGGATTTTTCGCCTGTCAGCATAGCCGTAGCGCGCGCGTGGCCTGCCAGGCACGTCGCTGCATGGAAGATAATGGGCCGAGACGAGCCACGGTTGGGTGTGGAATATATCGACAGATCTGAAACCAAGCGCGATATTTGCATATACCGGAATGGGGTAAGCTGTTGGAGGTATGAAAGCAGATTATTTTGGATAGCACCTGAGCGCTTTTCAGCGAGAGGAGCTATCCTCCTGCAGCTTGTTTCACAGTAAAATGGGATCAATAGCACGTACTGGCCATGGGGGCCTAGACTCTCACCCAGCATATGAGGCATAAGCGTTGTTTAATTAAGTCAAAAGGTGGAAGAACGTGAGGGGGTTTAACGTAAGATATAATCCGAAAAGCTTCACCGCCTTTGTAGTTAAGCAGGTTTGATATAAGGTCTTGACGCGTTTCCGCGAAGTGATGGATGCCAATCTGGTTTTGGAACCCGCTGGACCGGAATATGGGAACTTTCAAATGGTCTTATCCGTAATTGGGTATTTCCATGGTCTCCACTGCCAAAGTGGATGTGCCATGAACATTGCGTGCCGGGAAGATCACGTTTTACTGATTCCAGCATAGGTACACGAATCGTCCAACAATGAATCAATACATTACAACCCGATTGACACTCGGCCAATCCGGATCATAGTTAAACTCCAATAGTAGCCCAGCTATATTAGTATATATACAAACTTGCGCGCGCTAAGCTAGCGTTAAGTAAATGCTAGGTGAGGCAAGCCAACGCTTGCATTAATTGACCTAGGCCAAGATTTCCTGAAGAAACTTCACAACCGCATCACCAACCTCCTGAGTCGACGACTTACCGCCCAAATCCCCAGTCATGATCCCAGAGTCCAAGGCCTTTTTCACCGCAGCTTCAACTGCATCAGCTTCCTTGCTCAAATCCAAGGATAATCTCAACATCATGGCAGCAGACAAAATCGTGGCAATTGGGTTCACAAGACCCGGAGCCAAGTCTGGCGCCGAGCCGTGACATGGCTCGTATAACCCGAAGGCGGTGTTAGTGTCCGGCAAAGACGCAAGCGAGGCAGATGGCAACAAGCCAAGGGAGCCTGGAATAACACTGGCTTCGTCAGAGATGATGTCCCCAAACATGTTGGAGGTGATGATGATCCCGTTCAACTTGGTTGGCGACTTGACCAAGATCATGGCGGCGGAGTCGATCAATTGGTGCTGGAAGGATAACTGTGGGAATTCGGCCTCCAAGGTAGCTGTCACGGTCTTTCTCCACAAACGGGAGGAGGCAAGCACGTTGGCCTTGTCCAAGGACCAAATCGGGAGCGGTGGGTTGGACTGTAAGGCCAAAAAGGCGGCCATTCTGGTGATTCTCTGCACTTCCGGCACAGAGTAGGCCTCGGTGTCGCTGGCAAAACCCGAGCCGTCGTCTTCGACCCTCTCGCCAAAGTAGATTCCGCCCACGAGTTCTCTGACCACGGTGAAATCCGTGCCTTTAACGATGTGCGACTTCAACGGAGACAATTCAAGCAATGACTCCGAGGCAAAGTTGCACGGTCTGAGGTTTGCGTACAAGTTCAACTCCTTTCTGATCTCCAACAATCCCTGTTCCGGTCTGACGGTGCCAGTACCCCATTTCGGGCCACCCACAGCACCGAGCAATACCGCATCCGCGGCCTTGGCGGCGGCAAGAGCCTCGGCCGGCAATGGAACACCCGTAGCGTCGATGGCCGCGCCACCGATCAAGTGGTGCTGGAACTCGAACTCGATGGACGAGTCGATGGCTGAAAGCGCGTTGAGCACTTTCAAGGCCTCCGCGGTGACCTCCGAACCGACGTGGTCACCCGGAAGCACCACAATGGTCTTCTTGGAGGAGGTCTTGGCTTTCTTTAATTCTGGCTGGGACATTGCGTGTTATGTTTGTGTTGGCGCTGAGGCAATGATGAATTGGGATGTGGGGGTGGAGGAGTTATATACTCTCCGGGATTGAAAAATTGTGACTCGGTGGGCGAAAGGAGGGCCGGTATCGGGATCACGTCCGGCAGCTAAGTGGATACTGTACCGGAAGCGGAGCGGGTATCCGGCACGGAGGGTCTCTGGGCCAGCCGGATGAGAGGTTGTGTGGAGGAGCTGAAGGGGCGATGATTAAAATAGTGTTCGTGGCTCTATAGCATGTCTATAAATATTCAAAGACGGTATTAAACTTAGAGGTTGTCAGTTATGTCAAAATTTCCAATAGTTCACCGAAGAGAGCAGGGCCCACAGAGCAGACGGACAAACGTTTTCGACATACTGCCATATTAGCTACAGGGGAGCGATTTTCCGATACGGCGAAAGACTCTTTATATTGTCCGCATTCTACTCATTTACATTAACTAAGCATAATAAAAAATTCAGTACATACAAGATAAGGTAACCCTGGCGAGGGGTATGGGTTGGGTCAGAATTTGCTCTGCTTAGTGACCACTCCACTCGATACTGTTCAAGTCAATGCCTTCCTGGACCATTTCCCAAAGTGGAGACATCTCTCTCAAAAACTCGACACGTTCTTTGATGGCCTTGATAACGTAGTCCATCTCCTCCTCGGTCGTGAATCTACCAATCCCAAACCTGATGGAGGAGTGAGCCAAGGCGTCGTCCTTGCCCAAGGCGTGCAACACGTAAGAAGGCTCCAAAGAAGCGGAGGTACAGGCGGAACCAGAGGACAAGGCAATGTCCTTCAAGGCCATCAACAAAGATTCTCCCTCGACGTAGGCAAAAGAAATGTTGACACATCCGGCGTGACGGTGCACGGAGGAACCGTTCAAGGTGGTTTCTGGAATCTCGAGGAGAGCAGAGGTGAGTTTAGCGGACAAACGCTTGATGTGTGCGTTGTCAGTCTAGAAGGGGTTAGTATTTGTTAATATCGTTGGTGTGGAATGAGTAACATGTCAGCTCCTTGCATAATTTTGTGGGACATTGTCCAGGGCGGAGAAGGGCCGGGAGATTTAGGTCCGGTCCACTCGTTCCCTTCCCCTGCATAAGTGTCATCATGAGAATGGCCAGGGCAAGATCAATGAGGGGGTGGAGACAGACTAGGTTCAGTCTTTGGTGGGATCAAAGGAATAAATGTCATTTCGTTCAATAAATCCCGAATCAAAATCCAGAACCAAAATCCAACATCAAAATCCAATATAGCCAATATCAAAATCCAATAAATCCAATCTCAAAACTCTCCCATCAATATCACTCTTCCATTCTTGCTACTCATTCATCACGATCTACGCCAAACGCGCAAATAAGCTCGGCATGCTTCACATGCCTCGCGGTACATACCTCAAACTCCTCGGTCATCAACCTCGCAGCCTCACCAAACCCCGCAATCAAAGGCGGCGCCAAGGTCCCGGATCTCAACCCTCTCTCCTGTCCCCCACCGTTGACAAGTGCATCCAATCTCACTCTTGGTCTCCGGCGCACAAAACAGGCCCCCATCCCCTTTGGCCCGTAGATCTTGTGCGACGAGATCGACATCAAGTCGATGTTACACGCATTCACATCGATCTCAATCTTACCAAACGCCTGGGCGGCATCGGTGTGGAAGAACACCTTGTGCTTGCGGCAGATCTTTCCGATCTCCGCCAACGGCTGGATGACACCAATCTCGTTGTTGACCGCCATGACGGAGACGAGACATGTATCCTTTCTGATGGCGGCTTCCAACTCGGCCAAACTGACCATTCCCATCGCATCGACTGGCAAGTACGTGACAGAAAAGCCCTCGTCCTGCAAGTGTCTGGCAGTGTCCAACACACACTTGTGTTCGGTCTGGGTGGTGATGATGTGCCTCTTGGTTTTGCCGTAGAAGTGCGCCACCCCCTTCAACGCCATGTTGTTTGACTCGGTGGCGCCGGAAGTGAAGATAATCTCCTTAGGGTCCGCTTTGATGACGTTAGCGATGTGGGCACGCGCCTTGTCCACCTCAGCCTCGGTTTCCCAGCCGTAGCTGTGGGTCGACGAGTGGGGATTCCCGTACAATCCAGTGTAGAATGGCAACATCTTGTCCAAGACACGCGGATCGGTTGGCGTCGTCGCTTGCATATCCAAGTAGATTGGGCGTCCGCCAAACCCGTCTCTGGTGGCGTTGGTCAAGCTGAGCTTGGCAGTAGGCACGGCAGTGGTCGCTAACAAGCGGATAGAGCGGGTAGCTCTCAAGCTCTGATAGATCTGTTTCGAAAGCATCTTTGTGGGAATAGCTAGGACTGACTTTGGTTCGTTTTGCTTTGAGTTTTTAAGTGCCGAGCGATATGTGCTTATGTAAGCAGGGATATCGAATATGGGCAAAGGAATACTGAGATGTCTCCAGATTTCCTGTTATAGTGGCAGCTAAGAAAGAGGAAATTTCATCCGCGCAACATGGTTTGGTGGGATAAAGCCGATGAAGGATGAATGTGGCAACCAGCCAGCGCCCGGGATTAACACCATAATGGGAAAGGCGACGTCCTGCATCTAGGCGCTAATTAAAGTGCTCGTTAGTCATCAGCCAGGCGAAATTTTACCGTACAGGAACGGGATTATGCTTGTTTCTTCAGCCACCGTGAGTGGCTACGAGCAATTTGAGGCTTTCGTGCTAAAAGGGTATGGGTTTTACCGCAAAGATTAAAGTTATGTCGGATCCCCTGCTTCCAGAGTTTTTTTTATAGATCTATCGCACAAACGGTTCTGAGTATAACGGTAATGCGGTCTTGTTTCATTGTAAACGCATTGTATCCAATTTGTGCTACACGAACTATGTTATGCCCGCTAAGCTTTTACAGACTTGACCTGGCTAAACATTCAAATGCAAACCATCTGCATGCTTTCCACAATCACGGTTTACACAATTTTGTAAAATTCTCAAAAGTATTAATCGCGATTACCAACGAACTACCGAATAAACTTTCTGAGCTTTACCCTTAAGCAGTCTATTTTATAGCTTGTTGCGACCACCCTCGGAAGTATATGTCCTGCTCTATATTTGCGTATCTTGCCCCAATTGATACTAGGAACCTCCTTTCCCCCTAATAAAACGACAAACTCTTTCCAACACAACTATCCCATTCTTGTACTCCAGGATACCACCCTATATGCACTATACTCGTTTCTTTAACCTCCAACCCCCTCTCGCCATGTCTGACCAGTAAATCCGCCGTGAAGCATATCCGGCACACAACCGGTCTGATTTCTCGAGGCCGATATCTTCAAGTGACTACAGAGTCATTCACCAGTGCGGTATAAAACGTTTCAAAGGAACCCAGGGATCGAGCAGGAAACTTCCATCTGACAATGAACAGCCAGGACTTTTTCGTCTCCTTAGTGGTATGTACATGAAATCGCTATGTGATGAAGTGAGATCGTTGACCGAGAACGAGTTTAGATGTTCATCTGGCAGAGCTTTGAAGTTTTAGAGTACTCCCAGACCATAACATATGGTAAAAGCTGCTACAATTTGCACCCAGATGTCCCAACTTGAGAGGGTCTCTATGAAAATCGTTCACAAAGCAACAATGACGGCGAAGTCCTTACATCGTTCATATTAGAAGCATACCGTTTCCACTCCACGGCGCTAGGAACTTGGATATATACAGGTCTGACCCCCACCAATACTCTTATCCTATTCTTATCCTACTCTTAACCTACTCTTATGATTCTTACCCTCAATTCCCCTTTCTCATACTAACAGCACAGAGCGGGGCGTGTGCCGGTACAGCCACCGACCTCTTCTTCTACCCCATAGACACGCTCAAGACACGTCTTCAGGCACAAGGCGGCTTTTTCACCAACGGGGGCTGGTCAGGCATCTACAAGGGCCTTTCGCTGACAGTGGTGGCTTCTGCGCCCTCCGCGGCCTTGTTTTTCATCACCTATGATTCTTCTAAGGCACTTCTTAAACCGGTTTTGGGCGACGATGTGCGCAACCACATGGCCTCTGCGTCTATCGGGGAGATCACCGCGTGCTTGGTGCGGGTTCCGGCGGAGGTGTTGAAACAGCGGACGCAAACGGCGCAGTTCAGAACGCCGCTTGAGGCGTTGAAAGCGATTCTTGCGGGAAAGACCGGCGAGTCCGTGCGCCGCGGCCTCTACCGCGGCTGGTGGTCCACTATTTCGCGTGAAATCCCTTTCACGATGATCCAGTTTCCGTTGTACGAGAAAATGAAGAAGATGGTGGCGCGGAAGGAGGAAAATGGCAAGTGCCCGCCGCTTAAGGGTGCCTTGTGTGGGTCTTTAGCCGGTGGGATTGCGGCGGCACTCACCACCCCGTTGGACGTGCTCAAGACGCGAATCATGTTGGCGAAGAGCAAGGTCCAGTTATCTGAGCTTGTCGCAACAATGGTCCGCGAGGAAGGCGCCAGGGTTTTCTTGAAGGGGATTGGTCCGCGTGTGATGTGGATCAGCTGCGGCGGTGCCGTCTTCTTGGGAGGCTACGAGTCGGTCAAGTGGGCGTTGGAAAACGAGAAAGGCCCTGTGGAGAGGCTTTTGGAATAGGTAGCGTTTTGTATATAGAAGCCGTATACGATAGTGATAAGCATGGCTACAGGCCATGCCCGACCCAGGAGGAGTACCCCAAAGACATCTATGCATAACCTAACCCTTGACGTATTTATAATTGATTTTAAATTATTTTCTCTGGAATTAAACGCCTTATACGAAGAAAACGGGGAATCAAATAATGTCACAGCTGCTGAGCGGACTTGAGACTGGCGTGCACCTACCGCTATGCTTGTACCCCACCTCACAAACCATCGATGTTCCCCACAGCGGCCGAGCCCAGCCGGCTGATAGGAACGTGTCACACATTTTCACCGGCTGTCACATGGGAATTATGGCTCACACATAAGCCAAATCTCCACAAGGTCGCACACTCTCTTCACAGCGCCCATCTTTCATCTTTTTTTCATTACATCTCCAGTGTCTTTATAAAAACCTTTTCCTTTCTGCTAGCCCTTCGAAACTCTTCTCCCCTGTTAGCTCTTCGAAACGATTTTCTCTGTTTGCTGTTCGAAACACTCTAAGTTTCCTTCAAGCATTGTCTCAGCTTCAACCCTCTTCCAACTAACCTCCCTCAACTCATGTCCTCTGTCGCACAGCTCTTGAATGCGCTCCTTACGGACCCGGCACACCAGTCGCTTCTCGTGCCGTTGCGGTCGGCACGCAACGGGTTGGTGTATGGTGGCCGGATCCGGTTCGCCCACGCGTTGGTTATGGCGGCACTCTTCAAAAAGGCGTCGACGCGTGCGAAAATCACGTCAATCTTCAAGGCCACCGCAAACCACGCGTCCGCGCTCGGGTTGTTTGCGCTCATCTTCAAAGCCGCAAAGATCGGGTTGAACACGTCCCACAAGCACTTGGGGATTGCCATTCCGTATGTGGCGACCAACACGAATAACATCAATTCGTTCCTTGCCGGTGGGATCGGTTCCTTCTTTATCTACTCGCACAAGTACAAGCTCTTCAGCAAGGCGATCACACAGCAGATCACGTTGTACTGCTTCTCGCGTGTGGTGTTGGCGCTCGGCAACATCGTGGCTTCGCGCATCGCGCAGAACAAGGGCACGAACGACTTGCACACCGCGCGTATCGAAGGCAAGTTGCACCGCAAGTCGTGGTTCTGGTTCTCCATCACCACCTGGGCGGCCGTCATGTGGTTGAACGACTACGAACCAGACAAGTTGATGGGGTCATTGCGGTCGAGCATGGTTTATATCTATGAGAACGACAAGTGGAGCGACTGGCGGACGTTCTTCTTGCAGGGATAGCGGGCCAAAGACTGACCGGGTGTCTTGTATGCCATGGATGTTATATTTATCTCGCTAGACTCATATTACGACTTCTATAAATGTTATAGACCAGTTCTTTTGGACATCTGTATGGACTGTAGCTCGCTAAAATCCGTTGCAACTTAGACGTCGACAAACCTGGATATTGTAAATCTAAGCTAAGGCTTGGTTGAAGAGATAAAGTGTCAGAAATAAACATTTCCCGCTTAAGTAGATGGTTGCTTTTTGACACGACTTCCCTACAAGTATCCCAAACTACGATCTTTGGTATATTTAGTGGATATTGTCTAGTTAAAAGAGAGTACTTTTTGTCCGTAAGATATACACGAGAAGAGCTGATATCCTATAAAGTAGAAGTAGTACAGATTATATATCGATTAAACTTTAAGAATGCCAAAGATTAGCTCAGTCCTAGAACGTGGAATTGCACCCCATGTGTTTCTTTCTTCAATCCCGACCGATCTTCTCGCGCGTCGCATCGCGTCGCATATTTTTCGCGTGTGAATTCAGTGCGTTAACACTATACATGTTTTCCTCATCATCCACATTCCGCAATGATTAATAAACGCGATGCCAACACAGTTGAAACCGATAACCCCAAGAGAAGGAAGGTTCAGGAGATGGCCCAGGAAGAAGCCAGTGGGACGGAAGGCGAAAGTTCCGCGAGCCGCAATGAGGTAGGAGATGATGAAGATGAAGATGAAGATGAAGATGAAGATGAAGATGAAGATGAAGAAGAAGATGAAGATGATGACACAAATTCAAAGTTTCAGAGAAACAAAAAACACCAGCCAGTGGTCCAGGACTTCCACTTTCTCGACCAATACACGTTTCTTCAAGAAAAGGTCATGTCCGAGAAGTCAAAGATTGTAAATGTGATCAACAACACGGCCGCCTCTAACACCAACGCGTTCACCATCATCAACAGAGATCTCTCCGATCTCGACGCAATCTACACACAGGTACTCCAGGATAACAACTCGTCACTCAAAGTGCTCGGCGCGGACATCGCGTGCCTCAAGGACATCACCTATCTCGGGGTATTAGCCTCTAAATACATCAGTTTCAGCGGTGGAAAGAACCGGCAGCTCGATGTGGATGAGTTGGTGACAAACTTGAAGCATGCGGGTGCGCGCAACCCGTATACGCCCCAGGAGAATGAGCTTTTGGACGCCAACAACGCGCGCTACCAGGCGTACTACACGGGCCAGAACACGTTCGACGCATTCAACTGGCGCCACATGGGGGCCATGTTCTACCGGCACTCCAAGCGGATCCCAAAATTTGATTTCATGAACGGCGTGTTGGCGATCGAGCGCCGGGTGAAGAAGCGCGCGGTGCGTGTGGCGGATGACACCAAGAACAGCGGAAAGGCTGTGACCACCCAGGACGTGAGTGTGGGGGATTTGGTCGCCAAGGCGGAAAACGACACCATGAACTTGGTTCAGCTGTGCCACCAGCGCTTGGTGGAAGGCATAGCGGCGAATCCTGCCCTAAGCGACGGCTTGAACATTTTCCGATTCTTTCTCAATCCCCGGTCGTACACCCAATCGGTGGAGAATTTGTTCTACATGTCGTTCTTAGCCAGAGATGGGAAGATCAAGATCGTGAAAGACGATGCGGGCGTTCCGATGATCCAGATCGCTACTGCTCAGGACGCCAGGGCGTACCACATGAAACTCCAGGCACGACATCTGAAGGGGATCAAATCGGTAAAGACGAATCATTCGATCTTTGCGATCAGTTATGAAGACTGGGAGGGGTTGATCAAGACGTTTGGAATCACGGAGAGCTTCTTGCCGCATCGACTGGGACCGGACTACGCCGAGGAACTGCTATGAGCTGTTAACTGAAGATGCGAGTGAGTGCCAACTATCAATTCTGTTATCAGGTTTACCCAGAGTAACAGTATATCAAGCTCGGTATGGTGGGAGGTGAATGCCTAGTGAGAGTACTGATATTTTGAGAGGCAGTTTGGTGTGATATTAGTGGTTATGGGAGGAACCAGTACATTGGGTTTAACCTTAGTGTGGTTTTTTTTTGGGTAAATAACTGTAATAGCCGTTCAATAAGCTATCACATTTGGTTGCTTACGAACGTGTATTTAAACATGCGTGCTTATGACAACCTCTGTGTACACCGAGATGAAGCAAGACATCGATGTAGGACGTACAATTGATTAGATTCAGGAGTTTCGTTCCAATTTCCTAGGTACATATTCACTCTATTGTAGGTCTTATTGCTTACCTAGAAACGGACAACGGTCCGTATCGTTCCTATCGCTAGATTCGCGACGCACAATGCTGTGTGACTGCGTACGATTCCTGCATGCTGCGAAAATGATTTTTCAAACCTGGAGTTCAGGTTTTGTCGCAAGCCTCAAAAACAGAGGTTTACGACAAATATACAAACCACTCCGCCATCACGGACCTGAAGGGATTTAAAACCGCTCACGTTACACATGCTACCTCCTAGATTAATCGATAACAAACCGTCAATCTCCAACTTTGAGACGATATCTCAGTACCAGGCCTCCACCCCAGCGGAGTATTCCCTCGAAGAATACCCGGTACTCTACGGTGGGGCCACCAATTTGGCCTTCACAGCCCTTGGAGACGTGCGCTTTCATCCGGCGCTCCAAGCCGGAGCACCGGCCGTCATCGACTTGTTTGTGCTGAACGTGTCGGTTATTTTCTGGTTCAATGCTGTGAACCACGGGATTGAGTTGCCGTACCAGAACCTCGTGCTACACGCTTTGCAGACACCACAGCTGATCTACATGCAGCTCAAACCGTCGCATTTGCTCGACATTGTGGACGAGAACGACGAAGAGTACGAACGCACGATCGAGTGCTTGATTGAACTCCGCGCGGACACTAACGCAAACATTGCCAGCAACCAACTATGGACGGCCCTATACGCCAACAGCGACGCCTCACAGGTGATTGCGTCGATTTTCTCCGCCTTATCCCGGTGTTCCTCCATGCACGTGGACTCGGATGACGAGGAAGGTGACGTAATGGAGGACGCATCTGCACTGGAATTAACAGTGGGCGACATGCCAGCGCTCGAGCTCGTACTTGGCGACCACGGGGATGCCGATGACTTGTCCGACCGTGAGGGAGAAATTGAGAATGGGACGAATCCCGCTGGGGTCTTGGTAGATGTAGGGGCGGGCCCGCTTGCGGGGCTGGTCAGAACCAGGGACGAGGTAGAGATGGAGGAAGGAAGTCCCGAGGAGACGTTCAAAAGGGTTTGCTAGCTTACAGTTTAATGCCAAGTATACATATGCCTTCTAAGCAACACATTAAGGGAATTGATCAATTAACCTACAACATCGATTTTGTAATCCTATGGGTATTAAATATAGAGATAAGAGGTACGAGGGGACATTTTTTTTGGGATAGATGTTAAATATAGAAAGACACATAACGGGGATGAGAGAACTCGGAACAGTTGTTTTGAAACACAATAACCAAACAATCTTATTTCTTACTCCGTCTTCTAGGGGAAGAGCCCCTGATGGTACTGGTAGGTACCAACTCCTCCTCGTCATCGTCATCTCTGGGCGCAGAGTATTCGCCCAAGGCAGTCAACCGTCTGGCTCTCTCCACCGCAGTCTCCTCATCCTCCTCATCCTCATCGCTCTCCAGCGACGAGTCTTCCTCCAAAATCTCAACCATCGGTGGTTGCTGCTGCTGGAGCTGGGCACCGGCCAACTTGGTCTTTTCTTCCAGACTCAATAAACCCACTAACTTATCCTCCAACCGCTGGGACGGAACCGAAGAGGCGTCGGAGCGTTCATCGTCACCTGGGATGAAGAAACCATTTGTGGCCTGGGCCTTTTCGGTGTCTGGTTTGGTCACCAATGGCACCACCGGAGTCGGAGCCTGAGGGTCGATCTGTTTCAACCCAACCATCGACAACGCTCTGTTCACTATAGACGACGATCGATTTCTGCCAACAGGAACGTTATCACCTGGCGGAACATCGGCATGCGGGTTGATCTTGTATCTTCTCACAATCTCTCCCTCCTCGTTCTCAATGATGATGTTATTGTCTAGCTTGAACGCATACACCTTCTTTTTAGTACCCTTGTTAATGAGAACCTTGGACGTTTTATGCTTGGCACGGGAGTTGTACTTGAGCAGGGAGCTTGAGGACTCGGACACCTCCGAGAACTGCGAAATGCGTCTTCTCAATGACGAGAAACTGTGGACAGAGACGTCACCAACGGATTGGCTCTCGGAGTTGGCCGAGGCGGTTGGAGACAAGCCAGACCCAATAGTGCCGGCACGTTTGCGACGGTTGCGGGAGCGCTCTTCGTCGGCGGTTTCGCGCGACTGGGACACTTTGAGGGTCTCCAAGATCTCACCGTGCTGGTCTTCAATGAGCACCGTAGACCCTTCCTGGTACACGGTGGTTGGCTTTCTCACGTGCCCATCGGAGTCCACTTCCAAGGCTTCCTCTGTGAGCTCGTCCACTGGCGTCTGGCCTAGCGTTTCAGAGTTGGAGGACCCAGTCTTCTCGAGAGGCCCATCTTCGGCCTCAGGCGCTCTGTGTTTGGCGCCCAAATCAATCACCTCGGCCTCCTTTGCCTCACGATGCTTTTTCTTGGTCACCTTTTTCTTGGAGCGCTTCTTTCTGGCCATCCCGCCAGCCGGCTTCACAGGCACCCCGCTGGTCTCTACGGTATTAGTATGCAGCAAAGGCACACCGTCAACCTTGGTCATGTTTGTATCCACACGTTGCAACGAGAAAGGCATGCCAGTGGTGTCTATCTTTGGCAATCTGGCCAACCAGCTCTGGGAGCTGCCCTCTGCGTCGCCCGTCTTGGTGAACGACATGGTGATGACCATCGTGTTCAAGTGGCGCCCCAAGGTGAGCACCGCGACGGACGAGCCGTGGACAACGATAGAGGTGATGATCACAAAGGTGACAATCGGCCAAATCACCTGGATGAGCTGGTAGTACTCCTGACCGGGAGCCGGGAGCACAGCCAACGGGACGTCGTGGTAGCCCGCATAGTGCTCGAGCTCCTTTCGGCTGAGAATGGCGGCAAAAACAGCCCCCACCCCCACCGGACCAAAGTGGCCACAGAACAACGCCTCTCGCCAGGTCTTGATGTCGGGGATGAATGGTTTTAACGCCATGACTGCAGGAATGCGTCTCAAGAAGATGATGACAAACGCAAGGATCACAAGACGCCACACGTCGAGCCCGAGCACAGGGTTGTTGTACTGTTCCCACGGAATAATGGCACCGAAGTAGACAAAGTACGTCAAGTTGAGCAACAAATCGATGACGGTGGAGACTTGCGACTCCTCCGTCTTGCGGGCAAACCAGCCATCCCACGCGAACGCAGCGCCGGCCGCAAAGGATACAAGCAAATCATCGACTCCAAGGATGGAGCCAAACCCGGCACAGAGAACCGCCATTACGATGTAGAACGCGAGGAACGACTCGCGGTCGATCAACTCCTTGCGCTCCGCAAACTTGATCGCGTGGCGGCCACAGTAGCCGAGAATCGCACCAAGAACGCACCCAAAGATGCACTCGTACAAGATGGTGAGACAGACCCAGTCCTTGATGATTTCACCGGCGTTTCCCTCATGTACAATCAAGAATAACGAGAGGAAGATGAACGGAAACGCCATCCCATCGTTACATCCGGACTCTGCGGAAAGGATGTTACGCAAGTGGCCTGGCACCCTACGGGCGAATTTGCCCTTACCCACAACGGCCGCGGCCAAGACAGGATCGGTAGCGGTGACGCAGGCGGAGACCAAGAGCGAGTGGGAGAAGTTCATGCCGGGAATAAGGATCCAGATGAACAAGCCCACCATCAACCACCCAACGGTCATGACGGGCACAAGCAAGAGAAACACCGAGAGCCAGTGCTTGAGCATGTACTTCTTGGGCAATTCGACGGCAACGGCGAAAATCTGCACCACCAAGACGATCCGCGAGATCTCGAGCGTGATGTAATCTGAATTGCCCCAGGTGGCGGGGTCAAGCCAGTTGAGGCAGTGCGGACCGACGATCAAGCCGCAGATGGCGGCAATCGTGGCCTCACCGATGTAGAGTTTTTCTTTCACAAAGAGTGAGCAGAGTGAGAAGAGCGTGGTGAACACGCCAATGACCGCGTACGCAATATGCGCCTGGTCGACATCAAGTTGGCTCCAAACCATGGGAAATTAAAGCGGCCAGAAACTGAGAAAACGGTTGGATAAGACAATAACCAGAGATGATAATCAGGTTTGAGGGGGGATTCCACATTCAGGTTCAAAAATTTCAGACCCGAGTTTAGACCGAAATAACTTGACACGTGGAGTATGTCGATTTTTTTTTCTAGCAATCAGATCCGTGGGTTGATTACCAAATGTGCAGCAAAACTTGCAAATGGAATCAGTGATGGTTTCAGCAACTGGGTTGTCTGAAATGTGGTCTGAGCGATGCTGTGCGTGTGACAGATATGATTCAAGACCTTAAACGCGAGTCTAGTTTGATTGCTTTGGTGGTACTGTAGACTCCAACCGTGGGATGTGAATATGCGAACCAGCGAAAGAATAAAAGCTTCAATCGAGAAGTTGAGGCTGCAGATTGGCGCCCCAAGAACGACTGCCACGGCGCCAAGATAAGAATAAATGTGTTGATGTTTTGGAGCCGCTCAACAGAATTAAGCGTGCGGCGGTGACCAGGTTACCCGGAGAGAGATACATAGCCTTGCAGAGCAGGCTACTGGTAGGGCCTAGATACCTATTTCATAACCTTTAGCCAATTACACGGCGAGTATGCACATTTGACAACGTTTAAACGTACAAAATGTGAATCACACGATGGCCGTACCATGCTTCAAACATGTCCTGTTGCAGATACATCAAACCTGGCTAGACTACTACCGATGCAGCCGCACGCTCATGTGCATCATCCCAGTCACGTGGCATCATGAAAAGTCACAACCGCTGACATATCGGAAAATCCCAAACTGTGGAAGTAACCTCTACCAGCGCTAAACTAGTTGATGGGAAAGCTGTAGCGCTTCATTTAGCAGGAAGCAAAGCCGGCGTTGCCCAACCTACTACAAAATCAAATTCCGGAATTGTTCATACACAATGACAGTCGATCAAACTCCGTCCACGCTCCCCCCACCTATGTGGGTGATTGGCTACGGCTCTCTTATTTACAAGCCCCCTCCATTCACCCAGCACAAGGTCAGCGGGTATCTCACTGGTTTTATCCGTCGATTCTGGCAATCATCCTCAGACCACAGAGGCACTCCCGAGTCGCCCGGCCGTGTGGTTACCTTGATTCCGTCCTCTGATCTCCAGCGAAACCCTGATCTCATGGACACCTACCATGACCCTGCCCATTTACACGTTTCCGCGGTAGCGTACTACATTGCTCCCGAAAACGTGGCGGAAGTGTCTGACTATCTCAACGTCCGTGAGCAAGACGGCTATTCTATCCACCACGTGCCGTTCTACGTTTCTGCCGCCGCGGCGTCCGATCCAGAGCTCAGCAAACTCCTCGCTTCACTTCCGATCCACCCAGAAACCGGCGAAAAGTTTATCCAGTCGATGATTTACATCGGTACTATTGACAATGAATCGTTTGTGGGGCCCGAAAGCATGGAGCAAACGGCCACCGTGATACGAACCTCGGTGGGACCTCTGGGGCCAAATGTAGAGTATTTGGTGAATCTACACGAAGCTGTGAAAGAGTTGGCAGGGGATTTAGACGGCGATGCCTATTTGAAGGCGTTGGTAGAATGTGTGAAGAGCTAGCAAAATTATATCGTGACTTCATTCTCAGGTTATTCCTTCATATTTTACAGGATTTTTAAATAATCATCCGGCTCTTGCCTTATATAATTGTAGGAAGAGAGCGCCGTTTCTGCCTTAACCAAACACCTTTTTGCAACAGTACGAATCTCAAGACAATTCATAGACGATGGTGCTGCCGATTCCCCATGCCTTTGGCAAAGCTTCATTAAATCTCAGCTCGCGTTCGCACTCAGTTTAGGGGAATCCCGATACAAGTCACATGGTTCTGAATTAAAACACCTTACTGACCGCTTAATTACACATGAACAAAACACTAGATACCTAGCTCTGCGACAAGCGTCTGAAAAGTCTCTGGATGACCGGGTTCTGCTCGCCAACGCCGCCGTGAGCCAACTCCTGCTCGATCTCTTCCTTGCGCTGCTGCTGCTCCTCCATGCTTGGAGGTAACTTTTCGTTCTCCAAATCGGCCCTTCTGGCCTCTTCGAATGAGATTGCATCTTTCAAACCATCGCTCCCGTGAAGCAACGACCCCTTCGGCATGTTGCCACCGTTGAGGTCCTTCAACCGGTTCACAGAAACCTGCTCTGACTGCAACACCTGGTACATCCTGGAAACACGGCCGATGGCCAAGATCTTGTTTCTCAAGGCTCTTCTCTTTGCCTCTATCGAATCTTCTTGAATAACCTCAGGAACACCAGGCAAGGCTGTGGAAGCAGCAATAGCGCTCGCGGAAGTAGCAATCGAACCGGCAGAGTTGCGGCGCGAGTCCACCGATGAAACATCGTCAAACGCCTCAGGACGGTCCGTCAACTCAGTGTCCTCGTCTAGCTCCTCGTCGGTGCAGATGTTCAAAATCGACACCAACATGTCAGTGACCTTCTCTCCCACAAACGGCAACGACCAAGTAAAGACGTCCATAAAGTTTGGCAACCAGTAGGGGTGCGGAGACGCGTTGAACTGTCTGATGTTCATCACCTCCCCGTCGTATTTCAAGATGGCGGCTTTGTTGTTGTACAGATCGAGGTAGTTCGGCGCCGAAAACATAGTCAAAAGCGACGGGAATCCCATTGTCTTGGTCCGCTTGTACATCCGGTACCCCGCGTCCTGCGCCTCGTGTGCTCTGATCACGCACAACAAGCCGTTGCGCTCCAAGAAGCTGCATGTGGCGGTGTAGGTGAACGCAAACGAACAGCCTCTGACGGTGTTGGCGACAAACGGCTTGGGCGAGCTTTCCTGTTCATCGTACTCGGTGATCGGGTCTGCCCAGAGGAGGTCACACATCAACCCCCGGGTAGGAGGCTCTCTGAAGCGGTTGATCTTGTTGACATCCAGTGGCGTCTTCAACTCTGGGGACAACCCACCGTGAACGCAGAAAAACTGCTTGTTCATCACGGCGGCCAACGGGAGCGCGTTAAACGACTCCAAAGAAGCGTTGTACACCCCTTCCGAGTACTTGTGTAAACACTCGGACTTGAAGGTGAAGTAATCTGTCAAGTGCTTGCACTCGTGGTTGCCTCGTAACATCCAGAAGGTAGTGGGGTGGTTCAATTTCATGGCGTACAAGAGAAGCACACACTCGATAGAAAAGGATCCTCTGTCGACATAGTCCCCGAGAAAGAGATACGACGTGATGGAAGGGTCGCCGCCCACCTCGAAAAGCTTGACCAAGTCGTAGAACTGACCGTGCACATCACCGCAGACAGTAACCGGAGCCGGAACCGTGAGAAGGTTCGGCTCCAGAGACAATAACGCGGTGGCTTGTTGCAAGATTTTCACCACCTGGTGCTCATGCAAACGGCCCTCACGGAGAAAGTGCAGCTGCAAAAAGTGGTAGTTCGGCAACCCGCTGGAAAGAAAGAGCTCGGAGTCTTCGGGCTTGTTCATGGCTGGCGGTGGAACGTTGTCCACAATACGTCTGGTGGTGTCGAACTTCTCGCCGTCTTCGGTGACATGAACGGAGAAGTTGCGCTCAGCGGTGGCGGGTTTCTTGTTCTTTAGCGCTCGTAACGCGGCGTTGATTTTCTTTGTATTTTGCGTCGCCGAGCGGCGAAGCGGTTCGGACTGGTCACTCATAGGGGACTGGGACGGGCGGATGCTTCGGTGGTTAGAATCGAGTGCTCAACGGGGTATTGAGGACTCAACAGGGTATTGAGGACTCAACAGGGTATTGAGGACTAAAATGTGTTTTCAATTGGAGACGATGGCGAGGTCAGAAGCCAGAGATAGTGATCAATGGCAAATGCAAGTGCGGAGTAAACGATGAGGGATGGTCCTATAGCAAATTCAGGTAATCGAGGAGAGTTTATATTGAACAAGGTATCACAGTATCAATCAGCAAAGTGGTAATCAAGATATGCGTATTGACGAACGGGATTCTCGAGGAAAAGAAACGAGTTTGTGATGACACCAGAACGAAACGTAAACTTTTACCATTGTCTTGCTGTTAGAGTTTATGGTGGCTACAAGGCAAATGCGCCTCACTGCTCGCACTGCCCTGGGGAGTGCACGACCACACGCTCCGAGGCTGTACCGCATGACCAGACACGTTTGATTGTAAGAGTAGGTGGCATGGCGCAGTAGCATTATCGTTGATTCTACGATATTATCTATTAATAGCCGGCGCGCCATCGAAAGCTTCTAGGGTTAACACAGTCGTGGGCCAGACTGACACACCTTTCGTACGACTGCAGTCGTTCCGAGTAAAACATACACAGGGAGTAAGGTATTGTTTTGAGGGGTCACCTCAAGGATAGGTTGGGCGAGATATAATATAGCATGCTTCTAGCTACGAGTAATATTCTAGGATAAGACAAAAGTGGGTAAAACTGGGGTAGGTAAGACTAACGTGTAGGACTTTTAATAAAATGATAATTAGAGTTTCGTATCTAATGGCGTGAGCGCGATAAACAGGGCGTGCTTGGTTTCCACCACGTAGTGAGAGGCATGTTACATTTCCGCCTGTCGATACTGGTGATTTTTGGTGTCCGATAGAATCACTATTAATGTTGAAGATTCCATAATCTGCTTCGTCAACACCAGTAGAACCTCCCGTGGGTACAACTCATTTGGATGCCATCTTCTCAGCATATGCGGTATATCCATGCAGGCCAAAAAAATAAAATATTTGGTATTTTTCAGCCTAGCCTTAATTCTCCCCTCCGACCACTACAGCCACAATGACCACTACTATCAACATCGACGAAACGGACTTTGTCACCGCCGACGCGCAGCGCAAAACTCTCCGTTTCTCCGACGAAAAGCAACAGGCCCGCTTCGAGCTTGGGGTGTGCATGGCCATCTACAGATGGGACTCGCTCGCCATTGCTGTGCAAAATTCGTGGGGCGGCGCCGACTCAGCCGAAAAGCGTGACTGGCTCGCGGGTATCGTGGCCGAGCTTTTCGATGGACAGACCGTGGACGTGGGTTCCATCGAGGAGACCCTTTTGTACGGGATGTTGGACGAGTTTGATACGAATGTCGACGACGACTCGGCGTTGCCTATCGCCGCTTTGATCTTGCAGATCTACAGAGAGTGCGAAGTGCAGAACTATGCCACCGTCGAGGATCTTTATAAGAAGTGGGAGGAGAGAGAAAAATCGGGGAAAAACAAGCAGCAGGTGCATGTGCACATCGAAGAAGACCCAAACAACCCAGACGAGTCAGACGAATCGGACGAGGAAGAGCACGAACATAAAGAGGAGATGATGGATGTCGATGACGAGCCAAAGGGTCCAATCGTGGACGACGACGGTTTCGAGTTGGTTCAGCCAAAAGGCAAGGGCAGAAGACGCTAGGTTGGGTGTATTAATGGTATGTATGAGAGATATTTGTAAGGAAAGGACAAAATACGGAGAGACCAGTCTCAGATCAAGTAAACTCGGGTAATCTGCGCGTCTTGAAACAACCAGCAAAACTTTACAGTCTAAAAGGGCATGTATCTGGCAGACAGATAATCAAAGATACACATCCAAGTGCCTTTACACAAATCGCAAAAAAAGACCGGGCACACTCCTTGATGGAGCCTACTAGAGTGTGAGATGGAACACTATATGACATCTGGATTCTCTATCGCGAGTATTTTAGGACATCTAATTGTATTACCACAATTTTGGCCTTGATATTCGTCCGAGACCGTGTATTAAGGCTGGTAAATCCCGATCAGTAGAACCGTTTAAAAGGAATCCCTCCATGAGACTTGCATTTACACTTCTACAACTTGAATTCAACCAATAATCTCTTACTCGAGTCTACTCGTTGCTGAACTTCCGGGTCTGGATTCCCGAGTAGACCCCCGCTGAGGAAATAGAATTCCTCGGTGTATGGTTCGAGCCCACCGAAGCCATGCGACTCGGTATGAACTGGGAAGCCACCGGAGAGTCAATGCGAAGCTCGTCACTCGCGACAGAGTTTACCGACGACACGCTATTCCGTTTTGTGAGGCGGAAGTCACTTAACCGTCTGATCAACGAGTCTGCCATGTCATACCCGTTCCTGAGGCCGGTCTTGCTTTGTTGTTTGATCGAAAACAACAAGAACTGAGTTTCGACCCAAGGGGTGGACATGAGCAACACTCGCGAAGGAAGGTCAACGGCTTGCGATTCGGCACTCGCGGCGTTTTTACCCCAGCCGAACCAACTAGCACCGGCCTCAAGCTTGCTCGCATTCTTCGAAAGACATTTTCCCTTGATGAGTTCGTTTGCACGAAACACGCATCCCCAGATAATAGACTCATACCAACCCAAGGCCATGGCAGACCAGGCAAACCGCAACGGCTGCCATTCGGTGGCACGAGAATATTCAGGCGCAAGTGCAAGTCGCCCAAACACTCCAGCATAGTCAAATAGCTCGACACGGGACAAGATCCGGATGGACTCCAGGGCCGTAAACGCGTTGAATTCCGGAATTTCTTGTATTAAAAGTTCAACCGTCGCCAAAATGTACCGCAAGGCCTTGTGACCCGGCCAGGTTTGGCTCAAGGGAGCATCCTTCGGCTGTTTTCCCTTGGCTCTAAGCGACATCCCGACAGGCTGAACGGCCCTCAAGGCCTGGTTGATCTCTTTATCAAATTCGCCCACCACAGCCACCTCTGTGGTCTCAGGAGCATCCCCAAAACTGTTTTGCCTGCTCAACTGCCCCAACTCAGGCCGCGGAGAGGAAATCGAGTTACGTATGGATGGCGGACGGCTGTCATCGCTGTCAGTTACGTGGTCCTCCACCTCCTCTGGTTCTTCCTCCACCTCCATCGGCTTATAGGTGTTGACGCTCTGTAGCACTCCCTTGTACAAGGCATGGTTACGGGCAATGACGAAGATCAACGTCCTAGAGGCCTTCGTATGTCTGGTAATCGAGTGACAGATGGTTGAAACCACCAATGCAAGGAGGTCTGAATTTCCTGGAACCAAGAGGAACTGTGCAGAGGAAAAACGTACAACCAACTGGGTGAGAGAGTTACAGGCCTGGTACGAGAGTCCGCCATAAGGGGTCCGTTTCGTTGTTGACTGGCCTCCATTGATCTGTGTTGCCTCTGCTTCAGGGATGGCAATCGGAACTAAGTTGTAGAGGATTTCCACCAACGTCGATGTGAGCGCATTGGCCGGTTCGGCTTCCAGGTTATCGTTTTGAAGCATCGTGGAGAGTTGAGTCACCATGAAGTCACGGTATGTTCCGACATCTCCCTTGGACGTAAGCATAAAGTTCTGGGGGAGAATCAAATACTGCTGTAGGTCGAACGTCTTGAGGAGTTGCGTGGAGAACTGGGTATCCGAGGATACATGGAGGAGGAACTGAGCACACACACGCACAAAGCCGGAATACACCTCCACATTTCGGTAGGTGAAAATGTAGTACAACAAGGTGGTGGAAAGCTCAGTGGACGGGGCCCGAGAGATGTAGCCACGAAAGTGTTTGTTGCACTGGAACATTTCCCAGAGAAGAATGACAATCTCCAGCGCCCATGTCGGCGGGTCGCCCGAAGACTTTTTCATGATGGTAAACGCAGACGATGCTTCCTGCTCGGCCGTGTAGCTCACTGGGTTCACTAGAATACTCATTAGCGATCCACACAAGAATTTCATCTCCGGCTCCTTGTGGATCTTTCCGAGAAAGTAACGGGCCATGTTGTGCGGATTCTTTTCGGTAATTGATGTTTGCTTCATGAACAGCACGTCCTGGGGAATGGGATAGACAACCATGATGACGAGTAATTGGATAGAGTAGGTCACCGTCAAGTGCCGAAGCTCCATCGCCGGTGCGCTCAGAAACACTAAGCCATTCTCGTTGGGGTTTCTGCTGACTCTACAAGCGGTATTGAGCAAAGAACAGAGAAGAGTGAGCATTTGTAACCGGGGCGTAGCCCCCACAAGACAGGTGAGGTACCGTGAACCCTGGTCCGTTACCGTCTTGGGGGTGTTGTACATGCACTGCGACACAAGCGTGAGGAGGAGTCTTAAGATCTCAAGTCTGTTGGCATCAAACTTGGTAGAGGGGGGCTCAAAGGCACCGCTGCAGCCGATACCTGGTTCCCAGATGGAATAGTCCGTACCCAACGCCTCAGACTTGGCCTCCACGGTAAAGTGGCGAGTGAAGAGTAACTGGACACAGGCCAGAACAAGCTTGGCCCCAATGGGTAAATCAAACGCATTCGTTGGAAGTTCGACATGGACCGAGTCTTTTTCGTTGTTGTGGAGGGGAGAGTTGACTCTGACCTTTGTGGAGGCACCAGAGGAGGTGTGGCTCGACATGTCAGTGCCTACTGTGGCCGAGTCGCTATTAGCCGAATTCAGCTTGTGGAAGCTTGTAGTGGCATAGCCAAAGCTGAGGGACCAGAACATGGACTTTTCTGCCGGTTTGAGCTCTGGCAGCTCATAGACAAACGGCAAAAGACGTGTAAGGACCCTGCAGCAGTTGAGGAGCTCCTTCTCGGAAACATGCTCTGATGGGAACCTACTGTCACTCGCAAGCGAAAGGAGCCTATACGTCACGATCCGTACGAGGTTGAGGAAGTTCTTCTGGTTACGTTCGCGAATCGCGCGGAGCTCCGCGTTGGTAATGAGTTCGAAGACATCGGCGATACTCTCCGGGTCTCTCCAAAACTAAGGGGTTAGTCATTGCACCTAAACGGATTAAAGGAGGGGAAACCTTTGTCCAGCACAGATAGCGTTTTAGAGGTATACCTTGGATAAATTTCCCGTGACGATTGTTTTCAAGTTTTCCTCCAAAAGTTTAATATCAAAAGTACATACTATTTTCCAGTAGCTGCTGTCAGTGGGGATGTCGATGCTGTTTCCCATGCGAAGGACCGTGCTCCTAAAACGGAGTTTCGAGTCTGCCGAACCCATAAGGGTATGTTAATGTGACGTGTTCGAGGATGGGTGACAGATATAGCACTGTTGCGAGGATCGTTGTATCGATTAAGCCTGGAAGATATGTCTGTGGACCGCAATTTCAAATCGGCTAGACGGCTTCTTGGGTATCTAAGACTATCAGGAGGTGTTTATTGAATCCTGCGAGTCTCTCTTCTGGGATGATCATAAACGGTTTTTTGGTCTGGGGCGGTTTGCTACTTCGGATTCTTTGGTAAGGTTGGTTGATGCGATCTATAGCTGCTATACCAGGCTTCTTGAATGCAGTAGTTGAATAACTTGGTGTGTAGGGGGTTTAGATCTTTGTTTTGCTCGCTTACATGGCGGGTAAACCTCCTTTTTGATTATTTCAGCGGCTCGCTTACGCTGGTATTACCGTGCAGGAAATCTGACAGGGAACTTTTCCATGCGGGGTCCACGACAGTGCCAAGACCGGGTAGATCATAGAGAAGAATAAGAGAAGGTTGGTTTAAAGCTTGGGTTTGTTTTAGTTTTGTGTGCTAAACCTATTGCCTTAAATTAATAGGGATAACGAGTTTGTGAGCTTGCCTAGTAGCCCCGGACGACTTCGGCGCCTTAACATAAGGGCAGAGAGCGGCGGTACCGGAGTGCCAAGACGATTTCCCTTGAAACTAAAACTGAAACTTAGGTTATGCAGTAAAGGCCCCTTTATATAGCGTATTCTATTATGTTTAGGTTGAAGAAAACTGAGAAGGAAATACCAGGTGATTCAACATGTGTATATGCGCCGCTGTCAAGCTGTATGGCGGTCATGTCAAATGACGTTTTCCGAAGGTTACTTTAGCTTTGTGGTTAAAGATAAAATCAGGGAGTTTCAAGTTTTAGAGGTGACTCTGAAGAAGGCTGACAGGTACTTGACCGGTTATTTATACGTACATGCTGCATTAGAGGGCATATAAGAGGTCATTTATATTGACTATTCTGCCGGTAGTAAGTAAAGGTTAATCCGGAAACATTTACACGGGGGATGGAATTCAGGAGCTTAAGAACATTCGTTGCATCACAAGCCCCTTCGTTCCGACAATCTAATAGAGTTCACCGAGGAGGAACCCCATTTATAAACCTCACCAAGTCATCGCACTTGCAGTGTCTGCCTGCTACTTTATCTTATTCAACCATTTTATTAAAATACAAGAAACCGAACCGAAAGAAGAAAAAGGGAAACAAATAGGAGAGCAGATACCGGCCCTAGAACTCCTCGTTGAAGCTTAAAGAGCCATACTTTTTCTCATACGCAGCAGCATCGGCTACCTGCTTTGCGGTAGGCTGGCCTTCAAACTCGCTACGGGAGCGTTTGTTCTTTTCTGTGCTCCAAAAACTGTCGACGGTGGCAGTGCCACACTGCCCACCCCTCATTTCCCATTCGGCCAAGCTGCTGCCCTGGGTAGAGTCGCCAAAGGATAACAAAGGAGGCTGGCTCAAGTGCTGGGGCAACTGCGGTCTCTCGAACTTGATGCTTCCTAAGCTGCTGTTTGGAGACGATGACAACTGGGGGGCCTCCTGAAGCATCTGCAAGCCACCGAATCTGTCAAACAAGCCGATCGGTCTAGGCGTCGAGTCATTGTAATATGACAGCTGCGGGTGTGACTGGGTGGCCGCCTGGTGCTGCTGCTGAAAGTCAGACTGGTAGGAGTAGTTGTTGTTGGTGGAGTAGCCGTCCGACACTGCCTTGCGGATTCTCATTGAGAGGGTGGCGAGCGATGCCGTTTCAGGATCGCTGTACGTAGTGCCCTGGTACTGGGTCTGGAGCTGTCTCTTGGCACTTGGGGATTCCATATTTGATGGTCAGTTGAATATAGCAAATATGGGTTTGGAGGGTGTAGCAGTGGACCGTTGGAAAAGAAGAATGGTTAAAGCGCAAAAGTTAATTTAGCAGGGTCATCAGTAGAGAAAAAGGCGGCACTGTGCGTGTCTCACGTGCGTATTTATATTTTTGCCAGATTAGGCAAATTGACTGCGGTGCGCTACGTGCCAGAGTACAAAGAGAGCTTGGTGTAATTTTTAATATTACTGATTGGCTAAATTCATGGGATTTGCAAGAGGGGTCTGAGATGTTGCTTGATTGGATGGATTGAGTGGCAAACTGATTTACTTGTTAAGGTTTGCTAGATCTCTAAGCTACTCAGCGCCAGCTCTTCATGCAAGGCGGGAAGCAATTCAGTACGGTTGCCCTTTTGGGCAGTAAGCGTAAAATGCCTTTTTCGATTTATTCAAGTCCAAGATCAGGTAAGCCTGTTCGGCAAACCTTCACTCGGGTAAGACAGCAATGGTGTATTATGTTTGAGCTTCCAAAGGGGTCATATCAATACTATTACGGACAATAGACCGCTTTAACTGATGTGTGTGGGGCCTCCTTCCTGAACTGTTCTTTACGGTACTTCGATAGAGGCCAATCGAATACAGTGAAAGGTTTGACGGCCGTGGTTTACCAACTCGGAGCATCGAGGATAGCCTGCAGCAAAGATATTACCATTGTCTGGGCACCCAATTTGACCTCATCCAGGTTATATGTGTTTTATTTCCTTTATTTTTGTGTTTTACCGTGCCGACGGAACCGCTATTGATCGGTAATTGGCCTGTCATGGTCTCCATTGAGTCAGCATCTCAGATTTTCCTTCATGGATTAGGTCTGGCTCTAGTGTTAATATTTCAGCCTCGCCAGTGCATTCATTGGGTGTATGATCGTAGTTTGAAGGACACTCCCAGTTGGGTCTCGGACACATAAATACCCCTGCTCTGTTAGCTGGAACTTTATCCTCTATCCCGTTGAACTTGTTTAACTGATGCCTTTGTTTAACTGATGCCTTTGTTTAACTGATACCGTTTGTTTAACTGATACCTTTTGTTTAACTGTATAAAACACATACCCATGAGAAAAAAATATACCGACAACGGCAGGACTCGAACCTGCGCGGGCAGAGCCCAAAAGATTTCTAATCTTTCGCCTTAACCGCTCGGCCACGTTGCCCTAATATAGAATGTGTCAGAGTTAGAGAGTTGTTTCAGGAACCTTATGAGGTTCCAGTTGAGGCTACTAGGATTGTTTGATAATGAGTATCTGAAACTAATCCTGT